TTGATTTAGTGGCAACATATGCTGACAGGGAGGTGCAACCAGAAGGCTGTTTCAATGCAGCCTTAACACGACTTTCCTAAAAAACAAAACGGTTCCGTTTGTCTAAAAACTCCCCTGTTAACACTATTCTTGTATTACAGGCGGCCCTACGTCATTTTTCTGGGAAAGGGGTTCACGCATCCGTGTCCACCTTTGACCCTAACCACCCACGCACTCTCTCCCTCGTTAGGAAGGAATCAGTGGACGGCGGAACAATGGATATTCATTAGAGGTAAGGAGGTAAGGGCTGCCCGCTCGGGTTTGTTAATTGCATCCAGATGAGCACTTACTTTGGAAAGATGACCAAGCCTGTGATCAGGAGAAAACCTGCTTTGGCCTACGAACTGCAAATGTGTTCTGCGACATCCTAACACCGAATGATGAGAGGCAGTATTTACTGAAAAGATTGTGGATGAGGACGGGGACGGGGACGCTTAATTTGCATAAACGTATTAGCAAGCTTGATAAAGAAAGTGCACCATAGAGGTATACCTAGAAACCAGATCAACTTGTGAGCCGTATTTTTCTTCACCGGTTTTCCTTTAAGACGTGGTGTGAAACAAAGAAATCAAAAGAAAGCACAAAGGGTTACTTACATGTAGTTCAGATCCGCATCCGCGTCGTCGCGGGCGATTCCAACCAGCACCAGAATACCCCGTCCGATTTCGCTAATTAGTTTTTCATCGACTACGGTAAGAATGGAAGGAGGGGGAAAGAGACAGTTGGCTGAAAACTACGCTTGATGTACATCAAGTTAATAGAGGCGCCAATAAATACGCTGTTAAAATGGCCCAATTACGGGGAAGATGGACAAAAAGGGCTCAACTTGAGGTCTAAATTATGTGCAAAAACGCAAGGCAAAACAGGGAAGACTCGGGCGACGAACGGCTTCGACTATTTCAGCAACGAGCAAGCTACTAGCAGAACATTTGTTTTGACTGACGAGCTTCTGTTCAGTTTACGAGTTGTTAATGCATGTATTCACCGCTGAGTCTTGCTCCCAGGGCATGGATCCCCGGTCGCCGGTCACCTACAGCCAATCAGTGAAATGATGCAGTTTGATTGGCTACGTTTCGCAAGATGGATTTTTTCACATTAGGAGTTCGATGCCGGAACGGATTAAACTCGTTAACCGAGGTTGCAGTCTATGTACCTCTCTCAATCGACTTCCAAATAAGTATCAATTATGTATCTAAAAAAAACATGGTACACAAATACAATGCTTTACATTTCATTTATCTAGAAGCAGCAAGCTTCCTCTCGTAAAAGGAGCCATTTCCGTAATGCAGATAGGCTTGGGCTTCATAAGAAGGGGGAGGTGCGGGGTTCGGATATTTGTGTCATAAGTCAAAATTTTGCATAAACGCCGGAGTCAGGTATTGAGAAAGGAAGGGAAAATCCGATGGAATTAAGCCGGAGGCTGACGACTCTCTGAATGCACCACTGAGAAGGAATGAGTTTGTTGTCGAAAGAATGAAACCAAACCCCTTATGAGCTCAAACAATGAGATTCGGGCGGAAGGAGGAGGGTGCTGTTGGGGTTACCTTTTACAGGCGCGCTGGTCCTCGACCAGCAACGGGCTCATTTCCTGGACGCATGACAGACAAATTCCTCAGACAAGTCAACAATCAATCGGCGAAATCAAGCTAAACCCCATGTTTGCCTTAGTCAACCAAATCTCAAAGCATGTAAAGGAGAAAAAAAGTACAGCCAATTCTCATAAAATCTACTGTTCTTAAATATACAAGAAATAGGTCAAATCGTATTTGCACTGTTTGCTTGTTTTAGTAAATAAAAAGGTACTTTGCGGATAGTCCTTCCTGGCTCAAGGTCACATCGGTGAGGGCCACCTCAAAACCTGGGACAAATACTGCCCGAATTTCACGCAGAAGAGGCAAAAAGAGAGGGAGAGAGAGAGCGAGGGGGTGCGAACCACGCCGCCAGCCAAGGCTTCATAATGAAGACACCTGTGCCCTGCTGGCCGCTGCTGCATTTCATTAGTGCCTAACGAAGCGCGTGGCCACCCAGGTGCGGTCCGAGAACGAAACACGCCACCTGCAGATCCGGGACGAGGAGGAGGATAAATCCATGGGAAGTTGGCAAGTAGTCTGCCTAGGCAGGCATTCCAGGCCGATGGTTGC